CATTTTTAAAATATTAAAATTTAATTCACAGATAATATGATAAATAAAAATTTAATTATATAAAATGTTTAAAAAAATCCTTAAAAGTATTTTCATTAAAGAAAAATTTCTTAAAAATACTTTTGTGTAAGGAAAAAGCTCGCATTTAATAAACATAAGTTGATTTAAAACTATTTTACCTATTACTATCTGTAAACTATCTCACTTAATTTACATTTTATAATTTCTGATATTTATATTTATATTTATATTTCATTTTATTATTTAAATAAAATTTATAAAGACACAAAATACTTTTTCATAATAATAACAATAATAATATAATAACAATTATTATTAGACTTCATTAGCAAATCCACTTTGAGTTATTTTTTAAATAAAATTTATAGGAACACGAAATACTACTTATTTAAGTCTTATTTTTGGATAAACTTTTATAAATACTTATAGAAGATAAAATTAATTAAACTTATTTCATAAATTAAAACCAACTTATACACTTCAATGAATACCATGAACTACTATTAAAGTTAAAATGCAATAGTTGATTTTAACTTTAAATTCACTTTCTTTTTCTCTTATAAATATTTATAGAGAATTTATTTAAACAGCACCTTGATATTGTACATAGACACCCTTTTTTTTTTTAAAATTAATCACCTATCAAACACTTGTTACGTTTTACAATTAGCTCCAGTGCATTTAGGCAATACTGAATGCATGATTAGCTTCATGGCAACCCCTTTGTAAATACTATCGAACAACATGTAATTGAATCCTTTCACAGTGACGAAGTCAAACCACGCAGATCAACGTAGCCAGAAAGGACTGCTCGGTTTCGCTCTTTCACCTTAGTCCGATATATAACCCTGCACATTTCAACTTTCAATCACTATCACAAATTCACAATTCCCTAAGTTTTTTAACACAGTGAACATTACAAAGTAATATTTTATCAATGAGGCAAGGCAAAAACAGTGATTCTACCTTGAGCCTTCTAGCCACATCTCAGTCACAAGAGTTTCACCAGGGTAGACATGTAGAAGAAATCTTCCCACTATGCTTTTTATCAAGTCTGGATCTCCTCTGCATATTTTTTTAATGATCGCCCTAACTGCAAATCCTAATGTGCATAGCCCATGCAATATTGGCTGCGAGAATCTTGGGCAACAAGTTCAAAATACCAAAATTAGATTAGCCGAACAATTGAATTGCGAATACAATCCCTATGATGGAAAATTGCCAAAAAAAAATAGTCACATCATAGACTGATGGCATAATAGCTTAAAATGCTACGTAACCACTATTTCTATGTATTTAATTAATATGACCAATCCAAACAGAAAGCTCCATGGCTCAAAAGGAAGGAAAATTTTCATTCAGCTAAGCACACCCCAACTTCTAAATTATAAATTTAAAGTATTTAACAATCTGCCGGAATTCAAGAAGACAGGATGAGGTACTAACCCAGCAACCTTTGCAATCATGGGATCTGAATGCAGAGGATTGTAGTCACCAGATAGTCTGTAGATCAATGCCTGCCAAAATGAAGAACATTCACAATCTGTAAAGAATTTATAAAAGGCATATCAAAAGTTTTCAAAGATGTATTAGGGTTCTGTGGCTTCAAGAATCTCAACAGAGGGCCAGAACAGTGAAGAATGTATAGAAAGACAAGAATGGGAGATAGGGTAAGGAATGGGTTCTGATATTTGATAATCATATGAACAGGGAGAGCTCTATGTCTCTATCTCACAAGGGTTGCACCTTCGCAACTAAGACTCGGTTCACTTACAGTTACAACTAGATTACGTTTCTTACATTCTTGTCATTAAGTTGTCCAATCAAACAGTAACATGTAGACTTTTGTTTTTAATTTAACAACATATTCTTAACGGAGGTTATTTAAGGTTAGGAAAAAAAACAAGTCACGTTACTGTTTGATTGGAGAACTTGATAGCAAGGATATACAGAACTAGATTTAAGTTGTCTGATTACAAATTGTAATGACAGACATGTAAGTTATGAAAGTTGTTAATTACTTAATAAAAGGTAAAGACCATAAAAGCAATGTAGTAAGCACAATTTCTTTTGTGCTCATTTATAGAAATGGCATCACCAATAAAACTAAGCAAAGTACCATAACCAAGGAAATAGAATCTTACATGCAAAATTGCAGGAAATACAAATCCTTTTTTAGATATTATAACTGTGGGGAAAAAAAGAAACTCCTTTTCTAAAATCATTTTGTATAAGTCGGACTATTTAAATACATCTCACATTGCTCCATAAGCACAACTAACTGGTTCCCTCTATTGCTCTACTGCAATAATTAGAGTTTGACGCAAATTTCTTACCAAGTTAAACCACAAATAAAATTGAAACAGATAAAAATTTTACAGTACGTTTTTTTGGGGGGCAGGGGGTGGGGACCTCAATTACTTGCAACACTACTTATTGTAAATTTTCTGAAGAAAACATATTTCATAAATGACTAATGTGGTCAAGGACAGTGAACAACCAAATATCTAAATAGGGCATATGGCTAGAAGCTGATAGGCTGAATCAATGCAAATGTTCAGAGAGAGGGGATAACATGTAATTTGTGTTTAACATGTTATTATATGTAGGTCAGCAGTTTCTATCCTACAATGCTTTCCAAATATGTCACAGAAAATAACAGAGGACAGACAAGTAAAAGAGGGAAGGGCCAAAAAAGAGATGCAACAACGTAGATGAAGAATAAAATTTATTCCAAACAATATTGCATAGTTATAACATGCCTGAGATGGTTGAGTACGATCCTCAAACACTGAAAAAGGTTTACTTTCAGGAATTTTCACAGTTGAAGTTTGTTTGCCAGGGTAATTTGTATAAGAAAATGGCTTAGATGTCTTTGAGAAGCCACCAGCACCACGTAGATAGACAGTTGTCCTGCAAGCAACTGGCTTGTTGAGTGAGGTCATAACAAAGCATTAAAGGGAAATTTTTCAGCATTACCTGTTCATGCATAATAAATCACCAGACTCTTTCTCATAGCTTTTTGTTTCAACCTCCAAAATTGCTGCTTTACCTGAAATTAAAGAAATGACATCAAATCTTTAAGGAGCAGAATAAAGGAGTAAAAGGAATACAAAATATTAAATCCGCATGCATAAAGATACACATTTTCCAAAGAAGATGTGAAAGTGAAACTGTAGAGCAAACACATGCACAACGTATCAATAAGTAGAAACAGTTCTTGCAGTTCAACCTTTATCGTGTAATCCAGCAAGACTGACTTTATTGTGTATCTGCAACACGAATAATATTTCATTAGTCTATCAACAAAAAATTAGGGATAAAATCATAATAATAGGATGTTAACCTTAGCTTGCCAATGAAAATCACAAAGAATTAATATTGAGTATCACAGTTGTAAAGGTACTGTTGCGGATGGGGAGAAATTAGAGGGGCGGTAATGTTAAAATGAATCAGACATAACTCAGATAGATACTAGATTTAACTATAGAGAACCCATTCTTCATCTGTAACACACATATGATCTATCTTTCCCCAATTAATATCAGATCAAATTCAAAAGGCTATTCTTCAATGTGTTTTTGTACAATCGTTCACACTATAAGTCACTTGGAATGCAAATGCCACCAAGCAAACATGAGTACATGACTAGTTCAGATATGGTTTAGGATTTAGAGTTTAGGCTTTAGAAAAAGATGATATGTCACTGTAGATGCTTGAAATCCATAGTGTCTAAATTCTGAAGATGGAGCCCTCTAATAATTGAGTAAAATTTCAATCACATCTACCACTTAGTTTGATTTTCCAGCAAATATCAGCTGACATGTTGGTGGGTTGAGGTAAAATTGGAACAATAAACCATTAGTTTAACAATTCAATCTAAATGTCCATTGAGTCAATTTTTCATTAAAAAAAAGAAACTTACATGACAGCTGGAAGGAAATGGTTTGTACAATTCTATGTATTGTTGTCCATGAAGCAGAAGGCGTGGATCATATCTAGCATACATAAAGTTTATTTTTGGTTATAAATCAGAAGAAGGAAGATCAATCTGATAGAAAATGGAGTAAAAAAGTGAAGGAATTACATTCAACGATAAAATAAATGCTATGGAGATTATATATGAACAAATGAAGTATAACACAGACGACAGACATTAAGTAGTAAGCAGCACTCACTCCAAGCCTGGAAGATCCAAAACACCTGACTGAAACATATTTGGAAGTATGGCAGCAAACGTAGGCAAGACCTATAAAGCAGAAAATGATGCATTAGTCAGAAACATTTTGCAATTATATGTCAACAGACTGCCAAAAAAGAAATCAATTATTAGCAATATCTTAGCATAAGTTACGGTTGAAACATTTTGTGTTACATTGAGCATTTACCAAGAGTAATTAAAAAATAACAACATCCTAATAAACTTCCAACCTTGTTTATGGTAATCACACACAAATGAATTCTTAGCAATAAACTAAACATTGTCCAGTAATAAGCTAGAGATTAATCTCTCAAGCTACTGAAATCTATTTAAATGATCAATCTCTCCCATCAAATGTCTTTCCATGCACACAGACATGGAGATTGAACTCCTGATTACATCCTTAAAAACATAACTATCCGCCAACCATACCACAACATGTTCATTGTGCAGCGATAGTTTTAAAATAAATGATACCTTGATAAACTTCTGACCATCTCCATGGTAAACATATTTAAGTTCATCAGTATCAACAGCATCTGATAAGCAAGCCCCTACCCCTAAAGCATAAAGTGCTGCATCCCTGTTCAACACGTATCAAAGCAAGTTTACTCACACATTTTCCTTTTGCGAGAAATTAAGCATAGAAGAATATGCTCATTTCATTAACAATTTGAGTAAATTAGGAGAATAAGCGCATTTCATGAGATTTCACGCACGCACACTCTAATTTTTCTACTCTTACACTAACCCCTCTTAATTGTTTTAAAAAGATTGCATTGATACATCTTACACATTACAGTAACCTATTTAACTGTTTGAAAAACATTACACAGTAAGTTTAGTTATTACAAACCTTACAAAACAAGGGGTATGTGTGCAATTTCACTGGAGTATGAGAGTAATAACAATTTTTTTATTGAAAGTTTGATTTGTATAATTATGACTTACCTTTCTGTATAAGAGTATGTGGTCTGCATAGCATCTCGCGCAATGAAAATGATAACAGAAATTGAGATTCATCAGTGTGTGAAGGAAAAGATAGTAAAAAGAAAAAGAAAAAGATAAGGCATGTGGAATATTGAGGATTATTACATGAGGGAACTTGTGAGAGAGCGCAAGCGCTGGGTCGAACTCTGATGCATTCGCCATCTAACCTTGAATGATTGAAACACAGTTGATCGATTACATGAGAGAAAAATAATCGGCGTTTGATTGCTTTTGTGGATCAGGATAAGAGCTTATGAGATGAATAAATTTGTATCCTTCGTTGATACAATACAATGTATTTAGACCTAGTGCTAGTATAGCGTTTACAACAAGACATTTGTCCACACAATGAATGCTATTTAATGCTATTAGACATATACTCAATAAAAACATTACATAAACAATAAATAAAGTGAAATTATTTGACATTGTGTTTTGGTTATAGAATTTTAAAATTTTAGATAACTAGTACTGTGACCAATGGATAGGATGTTGATTATATATAATATAATTAAAATTTATAATAAATTATATAAAAATATTATACTTGAATATAGAAATTACATTTAAAATAAGTATTTATAAATATTTTTTAATGTACAAATTATATTTTAAATTTATGAGAAATAATTTATATTGAAAAAAATTATTTATAGATAATTTATTTTAAAATATTATTATTTAATTAATCAATAATTATGTTAAATAAAAATTAAATTAGGTAAAAAAAATTAAAAATCTAACAAACTTTCTTATTGAATAAATTTTTTTTAAAACATTTTCAAGATGTTTGTTTTAATATATAGAGATTAATTTAAAATATTTAAAAATTTAATTACATCAAATAAATTTTTCAAATACTTTAAACGAATAAAACAATTCAATTTTTTCTCTTTTAATTTTTTTTTATTTGGATAAAATAATTAAATTTTGTTTTATTTTAAATTTTTATTTATTTTAAACATATTTAAGAAAACAAAATTAAATTGAGTTGTTTAAATAAAATGATATGATAATTTGAAGAATTGTCTAATAATGTTATAGGAATGCAAGTAATGTTTTCTCAAAGTACATAGATATTAATTATATGAAAGATTATTTATGCCTTTTTTTCACGGAAACATAATAAATTTTCTCATAAATTGATTATAAATATTTGAATTTTAATTTTTTTATGAAAGATTATCTATATGTTTAATTGACATAAATTTAGGGGGGTGTATTGGATTAAGATTTTAAAGGACTTTTTTAGTTAAAAAAATCCTGCGGATTTTAAAAGACTTTGCAGGATTTTCATGACTTTTAAGATTTTGAAAGATTCTACAAGACTTAAAATCAGGATTTTAATGGATTCTGCAAGACACGTTTGAATATTAAAGGATTGAAATTTTTTTGAAAAATAATGAGAGAAAAAAAATTAGAAGAATAATCTATTTTTAATAATATAAAAAAAAAGTGACATTGGACTACATAGTTTTAAGCGAATTTTTTTTGAAAAATTATTCAACTTTTAATAATAGATATACATGTAAAACATGGACACGAATAGATTTTATATACATTAGTAGGATTTAACCTCTATGTATTTTGTTTTAAAATAATATAATATATAATTAAAAAAAGTAAAATAATCTTAAATAAAAGTGATTACAGAATAAGATGGTAGTTTTATTGATATATTTAACAACAATTGATTTTTTTATACATATTTTTTCTTCTATTTTAATCTTAAAAGATATGATGGTGGGAAAAAATAATATAGAATAAAGAGTATAAATATTTAAAAAAAATATGAAAATCAAAGGGAGATATCCCTTTATATATGATGTAAATTTAATATATTAATCACATTTTTTTATATTATTTTTTTTTCTATAAAATATAATTTATGTGTTTAATTGACGTAAATCAATTTATTAAATACTAATATTTATTAAATTAATAGGAAACTATTGAATTTTAAAAGATTGAAAAATTTTAGAAAAAAGTAGATTCAGATAATGTAGTTTTAAGTGGGAAAACTTTTTAGAAGACTATTCTATCTTTATATATACGAGGAGAGTTATAATAACATCGGTGCAATTTTTACTAAGTATTACATTGTTCAATAACTTTATATTAATTGTGAATTTTGTAAATCCAACCGTTAGATTGAAAGTTCATATCACTTTATATGTGTATATCAAATTTTGTTAAATTTGAACAACGACTTGAAGGTAACCATAGTGTTTATATTTTAGTATATTTTGAAATGAATATATTACATCAATTATTTTATAATTGTAACTTTTACTAAGTATTACACTACTCGATAACTTTATGTTAATTGTGAATTTTGTAAATTCAACCGTTAGATTGAAAGTTCATGTCACTTTATATGTTTATATCAAATTCTGTTAAAATTAAACAACAATTTAAAGGTAATAGTGTTCATATTTTAGTATATTTTTAAATGTATATATTACGTCAATTTTATTTTATAAGAATGAAGTATCAAATCATCTTGGATTAATATAAAATTTTGTATATATGATCTAAGAATAAAAAACTTTCAATCTAACGGTTGATTTATAAAATTCACATTTAATATATATATATATATACTTCTTTACTTTTAGATCATACATGCAAAATTTTATATTAATCCAAGATGATTTGATACTTTATTCTTATAAAACAAATTTGACGTAATATATTTGTACCTTCTCGGTAAAAATCCGACTGGTGTACCCTCTAGGTAAAAACCCGACTTGATCCTATGTCTGATTGGAAGCAACTCGGCCTACAACCGAGTTGACATCCCTAAGCAAGCTGTCTCCACTCGCCTATAAGGGGACCTCTCGGCGCATACCCGGTTTATTAAATTTTTTAATATTAATTATCGTAATGAATTATTATTGTTTGAATAGGATAATAATAATAATAATAAAAATGATAACATTGATATCATAAATAATGACAATAATAACAAAAATAACATTGATAGAAACAAGATATATAACGTTAATAATAATGAATTTCAATAGTGGTGGTTAACCACAATAATTATAGGCGATTGTGATAGTAATAATAATAGTAGGTAACAATGGTAAGAATTGTAATAGTATTGCTATAATATCATGACAGTAAGTGTTTTTTGTATTTAGACAAAAAGTTGTTTAACTTTTATCTTTTCTTATATCTATAAATAACATATTTTTTAAAAAATATTTTGTATTAATAGTCATTGTTATATGTATAAATAATAATTTTTTTTAGAAACGAAACAACGTATTCAAAGCATTGTTTATCTTTAAAATAAGCATTATTTATTGATATTTTTGGGGGTAGTATCTTTTATTGACCAAACATGAAATAGTTACATTTTTCTTTATAGTATTATAAACTTTACCAAAACAAATGAATACTATATTAATTAAAGATAATAAATAAGTTTTTACAATAAAAATACTATTTACTAAAAAAATTACGGGATAATGTAAGTGTATTTCTTTAGTTAAAACGCACATTTTAATAATTATTATTCTTATAATTTTTAAATAATTACCGTTAAATTAATTAGCAATGAAACTTTAAACATGATCAAATGGATCAGGGGTGGTCACTACTAAGTGGTCACCTCAATTCTCATAACACACTCCAAAGCACACCTTAATTATTTATCACACTCTCCAAAGCATCTGAAGGCGCAGAATTCACACAACAAAATAGCTGCACGACACGCTGATTATATATAAAAGAAAAATATGCGAAATTACTTTTTCAAATCGGGACTAAATTATAATTCCATTTTATGTGTTTCGTAAAATTAATTTATAAGTAGAGAGTTAAAAAACTAAAAATTTATAGGCTACTTTGTAGTATTAAAATTATTTAATAAAATTAATTGATAAACTAATTAATAAATATAAAATTATATAAAATAATTTTTATATTTAAAGTGAGAAAATGACATAATAGATAAAATATTTTATAATTTACAAAGGAAAATTATTTTAATTAAATTAATAAAGATAAAAAAATAAATAAAAACTAATAACTTATGAGATATATGTTATTTTAATTAGTTTATGAAAAATAGTCATAAACTTCTAAAATAATAAACTTGTATAAATAGGGTTAATTTTGACATTTTATAAGTCCTAAGAAAAATAATAAATGTGAGTCTATTGTATATCTTTTGATAATTATATTCTAGGTCTAAAATATTTATTGACTTTATCGATAATTAATTTTTATCAAAGAATTTGATTAATCACTTTAATTGAATACTAATATTTATTGACTTTAATTTGAGCTCTCTAATTAAATGAAGTGCATGATTAAAAATTAATTATATGTTTTATTTAATTATTTTGAGGAAAAGGAAGTGTAACCACGATTTATTTGATTAATTAATGGGTAAGATATGAGTTAAGAAGTTTCATGAAGAGCTACTTCAAATTTATTTTTATGTCATTCATTCCTTCTTATGTTTATGTGATTTGAATAACTTGGACAATTAAAGACATTGGAGAGCATCCCAAAGTATGATTAAAAAAAATTAATTGGGTTATTTATAAACATGAGCTCTTTAATTAAATGAAGAGTATGATTAAAAATTAATTATATGATTTATTTAATTATTTTGAAAAAAAGGAAGTTTCATTGAAGAATAACTCATAAAAATATTGGTGTAAAATAACGGTTGATTTTTTATGTTTAATTACTCTTTATAGTTTTATAACTTTTAGCTTTTAAATAGTATTTTAGTCTATACATTTTACAAGTCAAATATTTATTATATATAACTAAAATCTATAATAAATTATATATAAATAAATATTATATTTGAATATATAAATTATTTTTAAAATTATATAAATA